TAGCCTCATCAGACTGTCTACTTTGATGAATAGTTTAGATTCTTGTATTGTTTTCAACTTTACTACATAGTTACAATTACTGTTTTAATATATTATTATATAAGTTATATCTGTACTATATAGTTATAATTACTGTTTTAATATATTATTATGTAAGTTATATATCAAGGCCTACCTCGTTCTCGTTGTGAGTTATACTTTTCCACATCAAACAGAGACTCGAACGTTTCCTGTAAATAGAATACAATTAAATACAATAATACATAATTGAATACAACTAGGTACAAGATACAATTAGATACAATACGATAAAAAAACACAATAAAACCAGATACAACTAGGTACAATAATATACACCTAGATACAATTAGATACAATTAGATACAATTAGATACACCTAGATAAAATCAGATACAATTAGATACACCTAGATACAATTAGATACAGTCAGATATAATTAGATACACCTAGATACACCTAGATACACTTCGATACAATTAGATATAACTATTAGTTCTAACATGTATCATATGTATTATCTCTATCAAATATGTTTTACCGATCAAGAAAGAATTGCAGTGAACTCAATAGTAACAGATATCAAACTATTCAAAGGGGCATTCTGCTTTTTTTGTAGGTCAAACTGCTTAATAACAATTATAACTCTCCGTTTTTAACTAGCCCTTTTAAAAAAAATTCAGTTTGATCAAGAAGATACATAGATATAAATAGCATACTTTAGAAATATTTTCAGGTATAATTTACGCCGTTTTTGATAGTGGAAACTTTTTACAAAAGAGCAGAATTTAAATCAGATTTTGGTAGAACTGGATGGTTTACAACTTACCCTAGATTTATGATAATCTGCTAAATGACTCTCTTTAATATCTTCATCGTCTTCCGTCTACAAAATAATGTGAGTTAGAAGTCTGGACAAATATGCATTTGATGGCTAAAATTTTGACAGTGAGCTGTGAACACTATGATTGAATACCTTAGCTAAAATTATGTTTCTGAGACTAAAGTATGATTGGGCAAACAGATGGTGAATCTTTCCCTTTGTCTTGAGTCAGTGGTAAAAAGAATAAAATTGATTAAAAGGCTGTGGGCAATTTGAGCACTTGTGAGAGGTTCAAAATTGAAAAAAAAACGATGATCACATCAAGATTAATGACTGAATCAAATTTTACTCGAGTTTCCTAACAAATAATAACAAGTCAGTGAAAAGTGATTCAACGTCAAAATATTGTCTGTTGTGAGGTAAAAAAAATTGTTACCAGTAACACGTTGTCCCAGTGTCTACAAGGACAGAAACGCTGTGTCAGTGAATATACAATCGTTAAAAATTGTTCTGTCCCATTTTGATATGCACTGAGGTGTAAATTGATCAAAATAAGATTCATGTTGGTGATGATAAGTTCCAGTAAACTGAGTGAACTCTCGGAAATAGACGCCAAGTTGACAAACAAAAACGTTAAGAGACATCGTGTGTTATAGATTCCAGACTATTGAGCAAGCCCAATTATTATTCTTTTCTTCATCATGCCTATTCTTTTCAAAACACCTGATGGTACTTGTCTTTGGAGGAGTCCACTACTACACAATTGTTACTCTCAATTTTACTATACTTTGGACTAGATTTTGTATTAGATAGTATTTACCTGAGCAGGATAAAGGTAAGAATCATCTTGCCATCTTTTAACAACTTGTTGAAAAATATCCCAGAAATTAAAACCGTCATCTTCGTTTAAACCCGGTGTTCTTTCTAACCATCGCTATTAAATATACATAAACAAATACAATAATCAATGTATCAATTATAGATTTATACAACTGTTAAAATAGTACTCAATACATCAATTGTAGAGCTATATAGAAATACAACTGTTAAAATAGTACTCAATACATCAATTGTAGAGCAATATAGAAATACTACTGTTAAAATAGTACTCAATACATCAATTATAGAGCTATAAAGAAATACCACTGTTAAAATAGTGCTCAATACATCAATTGTAGAGCCATATAGAAATACTACTGTTAAAACAGTACTCAATACATCAATTGTAGAGTGATATAGAAATACTACTGTTAAAACAGTACTCAATACATCAATTGTAGAGTGATATAGAAATACTACTGTTATAATAGTACTCAATACATCAATTGTAGAGCTATATAGAAATACTACTGTTAAAATAGTACTCAAAACATCAATTATAGAGCTATAGAGAAATACCACTGTTAATATAGTACTCAAAACATCAATTATAGAGCTATAGAGAAATACCACTGTTAAAATAGTGCTCAATACATCAATTGTAGAGCTATATAGAAATACTACTGTTAAAATAGTACTCAAAACATCAATTATAGAGCTATATAGAAATACCACTGTTATAATAGTACTCAATTCATCAATTGTAGAGTGATATTGAAAATACTACTGTTATAATAGTACTCAATACATCAATTGTAGAGTGATATAGAAATACCACTTTTAAAATAGTACTCAATACAACAATTATAGAGCTTTATACAAATACCACTGTTAAAATAGTGCTCAATACATCAATTGTAGAGCTATATAGAAATACTACTGTTAAAATAGTACTCAATACATCAATTGTAGAGCTATATAGAAATACTACTGTTAAAATAGTACTCAATATATCAATTGTAGAGCTATATAGAAATACCACTGTTAAAATAGTATTCAATACTTCAATTGTAGAGCGATATAGAAATATCACTGTTAAAATAGTACTCAATACATCAATTATAGAGCTATATAGAAATACTGCTGTTAAAATAGTACTCAATACATCAATTGTAGAGTGATATAGAAATACTACTGTTAAAATAGTACTCAATACATCAATTGTAGAGCTATATAGAAATATTACTGTTAAAATAGTACTCCATACATCAATTGTAGAGTGATATAGAAATACTACTGTTAAAATAGTACTCAATACATCAATTGTAGAGCTATATAGAAATACCACTGTTAAAATAGTACTCAATACATCACTTGTAGAGCAATATAGAAATACCACTGTTAAAATAGTACCCAATACATCAATTGTAGAGTGATATAGAAATACTACTGTTAAAATAGTACTCAATACATCAATTGTAGAGCTATATAGAAATACTACTGTTAAAATAGTACTCAATACATCAATTCTCGAGTGATATAGAAATACAATTGTTAAAATAGTACTCAATACATCAATTATAGAGTTATACAACTGTTAAAATAGTACTCAATACATCAATTGTAGAGCTATATAGAAATACCACTGTTAAAATAGTACTCAATACATCAATTGTAGAGTTATATAGAAATACTACTGTTAAAATAGTACTCAATACATCAATTGTAGAGCGATATAGAAATACAATTGTTAAAATAGTACTCAATACATCAATTATAGAGTTATACAACTGTTAAAATAGTACTCAATACATCAATTGTAGAGCTATATAGAAATACTACTGTTAAAATAGTACTCAATACATCAATTGTAGAGTGATATAGAAATACTACTGTTAAAATAGTACTCAATACATCAATTGTAGAGCGATATAGAAATACCACTGTTAAAATAGAACTCAATACAACAATTATAGAGTTATTCAACTGTTAAAATAGTACTAAATACATCAATTGTAGAGTGATATAGAAATACTACTGTTAAAATAGTACTCAATACATCAATTGTAGAGTGATATAGAAATACTACTGTTAAAATAGTACTCAATACATCAATTGTAGAGTGATATAGAAATACCACTGTTAAAACAATGTTCAATACATCAATTGTAAAGTGATATAGAAATATCACTGTTAAAATAGTACTCAAAACATCAATTCTAGAGTGATATAGAAATACCACTGTTAAAATAGTACTCAATACATCAATTGTAGAGCGAAATAGAAATACTACTGTTAAAATAGTACTCAATACATCAATTGTAGAGCGATATAGAAATACCACTGTTAAAATAGTACTCAATACATCAATTGTAGAGCGATATAGAAATACCACTGTTAAAATAGTACTCAATACATCAATTGTAGAGTGATATAGAATTACCACTGTTAAAACAATGTTCAATACATCAATTGTAGAGTGATATAGAAATACCACTGTTAAAATAGTACTCAAAACATCAATTGTAGAGTGATATAGAAATATCACTGTTAAAATAGTAGTCAAAACATCAATTCTAGAGTGATATAGAAATACCACTGTTAAAATAGTACTCAATACATCAATTGTAGAGCAATATAGAAATACCACTGTTAAAATATTACTCAATACATCAATTGTAGAGAGATATAGAAATACTAGTGTTAAAATAGTACTCAATACATCAATTGTAGAGCTATATAGAAATACCACTGTTAAAATAGTGCTCAATATAACAATTGTAGAGCGATATAGAAAGACCAATGTTAAAATAGTACTCAATACATCAATTGTAGAGCTATATAGAAATACTACTGTTAAAATAGTACACAATACAGAAATTATAGAGCGATATAGAAATACCACTGTTAAAATAGTACACAATACATCAATTGTAGAGCGATATAGAAATACCACTGTTAAAATAGTACTCAATACATCAATTGTAGAGCTATATAGAAATACTACTGTTAAAATAGTACTCAATACATCAATTGTAGAGCTATATAGAAATACTACTGTTAAAATAGTACACAATACATCAATTGTAGAGCTATATAGAAATACCACTGTTAAAATAGTACTCAATACATCAATTGTATAGTGATATAGAAATACTACTGTTAAAATAGTACTCAATATATCAATTGTAGAGCTATAGAGAAATACCACTGTTAAAATAGTACTCAATATATCAATTATAGAGTTATATAGAAATACTACTGTTAAAATTGTACTCAATACATCAATTGTAGAGTTATACAGAAATACTAATGTTGAAATAGTACTCAATACATCAATTGTAGAGTTATATAGAAATACTACTGTTAAAATAGTACTCAATATATCAATTGTAGAGTTATATAGAAATACTAATGTTAAAATAATACTCAATACATCAATTGTAGAGTGATATAGAAATACTACTGTTAAAATAGTACTCAATACATCAATTATAGAGTTATATAGAAATACTACTGTTAAAATAGTACTCAATACATCAATTGTAGAGCTATATAGAAATACCACTGTTAAAATAGTGTTCAATACATCAATTGTAGAGCAATATAGAAATACCACTGTTAAAATAGTACTCAATACACCAATTGTAGAGCAATATAGAAATACCACTGTTAAAATAGTACTCAATACACCAATTGTAGAGTGATATAGAAATATCACTGTTAAAATAGTACTCAATACATCAATTGTAGAGCTATATAGAAATACCACTGTTAAAATAGTACTCAATACTTCAATTGTAGAGCTATATAGAAATACTGCTGTTAAAATAGTACTCAATACATCAATTGTAGAGCAATATAGAAATACCACTGTTAAAATAGTACTCAATACACCAATTGTAGAGTGATATAGAAATATCACTGTTAAAATAGTACTCAATACATCAATTGTAGAGCTATATAGAAATACCACTGTTAAAATAGTACTCAATACATCAATTGTAGAGCTATATAGAAATACTGCTGTTAAAATAGTACTCGATACATCAATTGTAGAGCTATTTAGAAATACCACTGTTAAAATAGTACTCAATACATCAATTGTAGAGCTATATAGAAATACCACTGTTAAAATAGTACTCAATACATCAATTGTAGAGCTATATAGAAATACCACTGTTAAAATAGTACTCAATACATCAATTGTAGAGTGATATAGAAATACTTCTGTTAAAATAGTACTCAATACATCAATTGTAGAGTTATATAGAAATACTACTGTTAAAATAGTACTTAATACATCAATTGTAGAGCTATATAGAAATACCACTGTTAAAATAGTACTTAATACATCAATTGTAGGGCAATATAGAAATACCACTGTTAAAATAGTGCTAAATATATCAATTATAGAGCTATATAGAAATACCACTGTTAAAATAGTACTAAATACATCAATTGTAGGGCAATATAGAAATACTACTGTTGTGTTTAAGAAGTGGAGATAAATATGAAAACTAGTGTAAAATGTTGAAACGTTTTGTATGTATATATACATGTGTATATGGTGTTGACCTTACCTCGACAAGAGTCAGTAAAGATGGCGAATCGATCGAGTCTTTAAGTTGAGCGATAGATTTCGGATCATTAAAAACTCTGATATAATGTTGTTGGTTATATTTTACTCTGTGATCCTGAAGCAAAAACAAAACCAACGTGAAGATTCTACTAGTGGGAAAGATTGTCCCAGATTTTTTTCCTCAACCTATTAACTTTAATCTTTTGAATTTGAACTCGACTACAAAAGCACTGTTGCAGATGATGCTACCGAGGAAGGACATACCCAACCTCCCAAAACACCCGATGCTAATCCGCAACTGTGTTATTGAAATCGGCATTTCTTCCGGATTGTCCACATTACTAATATTGTTTTTCTTGTGTATAAATATTCACAAATGCCAGTCTTATCTTTTCTGCCTAATTAAACTGTAAAGATTATTGAAAACAGTCTTAAAGACTTCATTGTCAGTATCTTTATTAAACCAGAAAGGAATTCTAGACTGAAACCTATATGAGGCATATTTCAACACCAGAATGTTGATTGCTTACCTCTTTTACACCCATTTTATTTTCAAAAAGTCGGAATTGTAAACTTTGGAAACCCGAAGCTGTTGCTAGACCAGTTCTGGAAAAATAATAAGAATTAACGATTAGTATTTCAGCCAATGAGCGGAGATGGAGGATTGATGGGGGTGGGGGTGAATTGGAGGGACTGTTGATATAGAGCAAGTGTATATCGTGATGTTTTAATGATACCTTTCGATGAAGACTTAATGATAATATTTACCAGAGAAATAAGCCAAGTATTAGTAGACTTCTAGAATTAATGGCGGGTTAACGAAAGGTGTCGCTCCGAGGCGATGTCCGGGATCTTAGAGCCTCTATTTCTGACGGCTTGAGATGAATTTTGACATTTAGAAGGCTTAATTTTCACTTCAAAATAAGACTTGCCACAGACCTGAAGTAGGCGGAGCATAGCTTTAAAATCACGTACTCATAATAACAAGGAGAAGGCATAATTTATTGTCTTTGTTAATTTGAATTTCTATGCCATTGTTGGAATATTACTAGCTATTCGGATATGTCGAAATGTTAGAGGACAAGGAATACCTTACCTGAACTCCAAGAAATCTAATGGTGTCATTGTCTCTAGTATATTAATCTGGTCCACCAATAACTTGAAAATATTAATATGAAGATTAATACCTGGCATGGTGCCTAGTAGTATTTAGTTATATTAATTAGAATGCTTCATATTATATATAAGCTTAGATTCCTAGACCTGTTTCTAGTGGTATCCCTTTTTTCTTTTCACCTCTATAGTAGAGGCGGGAGTCACACTCGATACAAATATGCAGACCATACTTATTCTTTACGAAACACCTGATAAAACTTCTCGTTTGAGGAGTCCACTACTATATTATTTTTGGATACTGGAAATGTTTTGCTTGTAAGAATTTTCATCATAGAGAATTGATTGATGCATTATTTTAAAGCTGAGACCATTCTGTATTCTATCCTGCTAAAATCTCTATTTTGAAATTTTGGTCACTGTGAATTTTATTTGACTATGTCGGTCAGATAATACAGTTGTATTGAGAGATATTGTGTTGGTAAATTTGAATTACCTTTAAAATGAGGACGACTCGGTTTAATCTGTTAACTATTAACAATGTCTTACTTTCATCTAGAAGCTGAAATTAGATTATTTGTCTCCTGTTAAAGGAATTGTTAGTTTTAGATTAATTGCAAGAACCACAGACAACTGACTGAAACTTGGAACAGTACAAACCAATGCTACCAACACACATGCACAATTAAAAAAGAACTTCTCGAAATCTCTTTAATCTAATGAGTTTTAAAAAATTGATTAATAGTAATATTGAGAGTAATAGTTAGTAATAAAAGTAATAGTTATAATGATAGTAATAGTAATAGTTAGTAATTGTTAGAGTTAGTAATAGTACTAGTAATAGCAATAGTAATAGTAGTAATAGTAATAGTAATAGTTAGAGTTGGAATAGTAATAGTAATAGTCATAGTTAGAGTTAGTAATAGTAATAGTAATAGTAATAGTAATAGTTAGAGTTAGTAAATCTGAACCAAGTTCTATTTGTTTATCTTATAAGATATAATTGACTAAAACAGGAAAAAAACAAACAATTGATTTACTCAACAGCCTAAAAGAGCTTATTCACGCGTTGGTCATATTGAATCCAGAACGAGGCTCATAAGAAAAACAAACAAAGACAACGTAGTGTCAATGCAGTAAAATCACCACTTTGACTTCGCCACTCCTAGTAACTCAAAACTAATAATATTTTACTTCATTAAAATCGAAACTAATTAATCATACATTCAGATGAAGTTTACCTTCACACATTTTTAAGCTCATTTTCTCGGTGTTGATCAGGGTTTAGTGACGTCACATAGACTATTCATTCAAATGACGTCGACAGCTTTTCAATGGATGACGTAATTTACGTTATGAACCTCGCTTTCAGTGTGTTAGAAACGAGGCGTGAATAAGGACTATAGGAAGGAATTTAATTATTTGTTTATAATCGAGGTGAAGATTCTGTAAATCAGAGGGAAGAATATTCTCATCACTAAAAACTGTGACTGTGAAATATCAAATCTTATCTCGTTTTTTTCTAGTATTCTTCTTTGGGAGTCAATCGATGAACATTTGACATATGCCGAGCTATTACTATGTGACAGTTCGCGACAAGTCGAGAAATACCTTGTTTTGCTGATTCGAATTGCTCGCAAAGGAAGCTTTCTACCAATTAAAATTGAAAAACAGGAATATCATTCTGAGAAACGCGGGGCTAGATAGCTGTGCTCTGGTAAAAACAAACTTACTGGTGCTCTGGTAAAAAAAAATTTACCGGTGTTCTGGTAAAAACAAATTTATCGGTGCTCTGGTAAAAACAAACTTTCCGATGCTCTGGTAAAAACAAACTTAGCGGTGGTCTGGTAAAAGCAAACTTACCGGTGGTCTGGTAAAAAACAAACTTACTGGTGGTCTGGTAAAAACAAACTTAACCGGTAAAAACACACTTACCGATGCTCTGGTAAAAACAAACTTACCGGTGTTCTGGTAAAAACAAACTTACTTGTGCTCTGGTAAAAACAAACTTACCGGGGTTCTAGTAAAAACAAACTTACTTGTGCTCTGGTAAAAACAAACTTACCGGTGCTCTGGTAAAAACAAACTTACCGGTGCTCTGGTAAAAACAAACTTATCGGTGCTCTGGTAAAAACAAACTTACCGATGCTCTGGTAAAAACAAACTTACCGGTGCTCTGGTAAAGACAAACTTATCGGTGCTCTGGTAAAAGCAAACTTACCGGTGCTCTGGTAAAAGCAAACTTATCGGTGCTCTGGTAAAAACAAACTTACTGATGCTTTGGTAAAATAACACTTACCGGTGCTCTGGTAAAAGCAAACTTAAAGATGCTCTGGTAAAAAAAACTTATCGGTGCTCTGGTAAAAACAAAGTTACCGATGCTTTGGTAAAAAAACACTTACCGGTGCTCTGGTAAAAGCAAACTTACAGGCGCTCTGGTAAAAAAAACTTATCGGTGCTCTGGTAAAAACAAAGTTACCGATGCTCTGGTAAAAACTAACTTACAAACTTACCGGTGCTCTGGTAAAAACGAACTTACCGGTGCTCTGAAGACATCTCTTACTGAATCAATTTCAAACAATATCTGTTTAAACCACAATTCATAGGCTGTAAAATAAACACATCATTATGTCACCTTATACATTTAATGTCAGTTAGTCGAGCAAGAGATTCAAAATGGCCAGGGCGCAGATTCATTCTTCCACTATGTAAATTGATAAAAAATTTAAAACGCCAGACTATTTTCTTGATGGGAACGTGTGGGAACGCCACTGTCCCTGTCGTATTACCTTGATGTGTTATGATGAAAAGATGTTCATCGTGGACTGCTGACGTCATCGATAAAGAATCCAATAACCCATGGAGCTGAAAGACAAAAAATTTGGTGAAAAACAAAGTACCAATTTTTGGTGATAAAATACAATTAATATTATATCTATCAGTTCCACTTTAAAATCTACATAGAATGGTAATGCCGATATGAATATATATTCATCAGTGAACTTATCTGGTGTCATAACTATACAACAAAATCCCTCTTTAATCCAATAAATACACAAAATTAAGTAATATTTGAAAGACAATTATTACATGTAGTTTTGTGGATAATCTCGAAATTTATTGATCTATGTTTAATGCCGCTAATCAATATTCAACACCTAGGTTAAAAAAATCATTACCTAAGTTAAAATAATTATCACCGAGGTTTAAATAATAATCACCTAGGTTTAAATAATGATCACCAAGGTTAAAATATTTAGCACCTAGGTTTAAATAATGATCACTTAAGTTTGAATAATGACCACCTAGGTTAAAATATTGACGACCTAGGTCAAAATATTGACCACTTAGGTTAAAATAAGGATCACCTAGGTCAAAATAATGATCACTTGAGTTAAAATAATTATCAGCTAGGTTACAATATTAATCACCTAGGTTAAAATATTGATCCCCTAGGTTAAAATAATTATCACTAAGGTTAAAATAATTATCACTAAGGTTAAAATATTGATCACTTTGGTTAAAATAATTATCACTAAGGTTAAAATGATTATCACTAAGGTTAAAATAATTATCACTAAGGTTAAAATAATTATCACTAAGGTTAAAATGATTATCACCAAGGTTAAAATAATTATCACCAAGGTTAAAATAATTATCACCTAGGTTAAAATAATTATCACTAAGGTTAAAATAATTATCACCTAGGTTAAAATAATTATCACTAAGGTTAAAATAATTATCACTAAGGTTAAAATAATTATCACCTAGGTTAAAATAATTATCACCTAGGTTAAAATAATTATCACTAAGGTTAAAATAATTATCACCTAGGTTAAAATAATTATCACTAAGGTTAAAATAATTATCACTAAGGTTAAAATAATTATCACTAAGGTTAAATAATTATCACCTAGGTTAAAATAATTATCACCTAGGTTAAAATAATTATCACTAAGGTTAAAATAATTATCACCTAGGTTAAAATATTGATCACCTGGGTTAAAATAATTATCACTAAGGTCAAAATGATTATCAACTTAGTTAAAATATTTATCACCAAGATTAATATGATTATCACCAAGGTTAAAATAATTATCACCAAGGCTAAAATATTGATCACCTAGGTTAAAATTAAAGTGAAATATGTCATATGTGAGCCACGTACTCCTTATTCTAATCAACATAGCTTTAAATAAATACTCAATAAATCATCTTTCTTAACTATTCTAGATATTACGAAAAACAGGTTGAACTTATCTAAATAGTATTCATAAGTACTAGAAATGTACAAAAATCACAGTCATAATTCCTTCAAAAATACTTCAAACTAGAATATTTCACTTTCTATTTCTATATATGTCTTTTCTATATATCACAGAGTATCTGTTCCTTTAAAAACTACGGACAACCAGGACACGACCAATGCCAAGAGGCTTAGCTAAAGATCAGTTAATATCCTTGAGTGAAGAGTAATACTAGAGATAATCAAACTGTAGGAGCAACGTGACCTCAAATCTCTCGTGATCACCAGCTGTGAGGATATATACCAGGATGAAATTAATTATAAACATTTTTTCATGTTTTCTGTTTCCGCCCATCGATGTTGTAAATCATAATACTCTTTTTCGGGCTTTTTTTTATGAGTTAGCTGCCATATGGGCGTATCTAACACGCTGTTATACAATGATGAGAAACTAATGACCGTGTAGATAAATATTAATTATTAATATCATACTAATCAGACTATCTTCATTTTTTAAGGGAATGGTAAAGAGGTTTTCTTAATTTATTTATGTGTATCAGGGACACTAATAGCATAAATTTGTATAATTCCAATTTTCAATCAAACATCTGCGGTTCCTGCAATTCCACTAAAACTAAGTGTTTGGCGATATCACTAATCGCGATGTCCTTATGTGATACAGAGTATCTTGCAATTAGTGGCGTCATCAAACGCCTAGAATTTATAATATCAAACAAGTTTAATAATTGTCTCCGATAGTTTTATCGTCTGCAAGACAGATCGTTATCATCCAATCAAATTAATTTTCTTTTCAATTGCATGATCCGCACGAGATTATCGACAAGGTGAAAAACGACCGAATGGAGATTTTTGTGCCCGTGTCAGTCGGTGAATCTTAAGGCAAGACTCCAATTGGCGAAAAAAGACTCCGACCAAGACCACTCGTACTGAAGTAGATAGCTGACAGGATGACTGACTAATTTCCAAATCGTCTTGTTTGACATTTTAAAATAAATTGTCATTTCTTCTACAGAAAACAAAGTATGCATTTCGCTTGGATCAAGCTGGTACGCCAATGATCCAATGTTACTGATACAAAATAGCAACCCTTATTTTCTTTTTTACAAAAAAACAAGCGCGCTTGAGTTATTATATTTCTGGAAGATCGTTTGTATTGTCTTCCATTGGTGAATTTAAAATATATGTAATTTCTAATAAATTATTTTTCATTATCTAATATCACTGAAAACAGGAAGAGCCTTCAAAAATGAATCCTTATGTCGATATGTATGATTAGACCGGTTTTCCTTATTAAGAGATTTCACAAGAGATCGTGTTGCAGAAAGAATTAGCATGAAACTTACCCCTAAATAGTCGCTGTAAGAACTCGGTACCTTGTTGGACATTTTGTTGATCTTTCTTCTGAAGGTTGAACCGTTTTCTGATCCTTGTAACTAAAACTATAAAACACCTTTGAATCCGGGTCCTTTTTTAAAGATACACCTTGCCTCTATCTATTGTACCTGACTGATTTCTAGCGTTTTGCGAAAACTGGTTGTTATTGCCCTGAAAACACCAGTCACGTGATACAGGGGATGAGAAAAGTAGCAGGTGTTAGACGGGATTGATTCAGATAAGAACTGGACTTTAAATTAGAACATCGCCGACTTAACCCTGAATTATTTATCTCGTCTAAAAGATTACTCAATATTTAGACAATTTGACAGATATTGAGTTAATACTTTATATAATAATCCTCTTATTTAAGAGTTACAATTCAACTTGACAAATATTGGAATTTACATTTTTCACATTGGCTCTTTATCCCATCCCAAGTTTCAAGTTTCTATGGGTATTTTGGGAACTGTTTGTTGCTGAAACATGCAAAGAATTTTTTTTATTTTCCTTGGGTTTATATAAACATCACTATGTGTTTATATTTTTACCAATTCTATGTATCTAACTATGTAGTGTATGTGATCATGGTTTTTACGAGTTAAGAACTTAAAAAAAAGAAGTTTGTTTAGATTTGTTGATGAGTAAGGCAGGTAATTGAATTGATTAAACATTCTGCTATAAATTTGGAGCGCGAAAACGTATAAAAACTATATTTTTCGATTTGCTTTATAAAAGTGGTGGGGGTACAATTGAGGGTGCAAACCATTTTTCTAGGGGCGTTGCCACTGAAGACACGTGGTCTATATGACTTGTAACGTAAATGAAATGATTGACATCTTTAACTTATTACGACATTGATCACGTGTTACGTTTATCCAATGAAATAGAAGCTCGTGCAAGTCGTGAGTTTTGTTTTTATAAAAAAGGGTGGAGCTTTTTTTTTTTTTTGTGTGAACAATATTTTATTCATAAGAGAAATGGATTAGGGAACAGGCTTTCGCCTATATGATCCCTTTTCCTATTAATACAAAATTACAGACCAATTTAAATGAAATACAATATGATATATTCAATATAATAATATAATTACATGTAAATGAGAATACACACATAAAATAAAAGTAGAAAAGAAGATACAGGACTATTAAAATAATAAAATTATCACATTTTGTTAAAAAAAACTAAATTAATGACAGTAAAATAATTACTTAATTACTTAAACTTGGAATCTTCTGCTGATATTTAAAAATGAATGTACTTTTTCGAAAATTTTGAGAGATTGTGATAATGATTCAGTTCCGTATAAGAGGCAATGTGAATTTATCAAATGAGGTAGTTGAATCAAATGAAATAAAATGAATGGAGTTTTACGTCCTACTTTTCTATAGTTGAATCAGTATTTTGGATTGGTTTCGTGTGTCTGAATGTAAGGGACAGTATAAAAGAAAATGTTCAGTATCTTCAAATTAACGGCCACACTGACATGTAGGACTGTCTGAAATATAATGAAGAAATTTATAGGCATTGAGATCACTACAGGAAATGTAGAATATGATATTTTCGGCTGCCAAATAAATATGAATAAGGGACAATACTATCTTGTGATTTAAAGAATGTTTTTTTAAGATTTTACTGAGTGGACAGTTTTAAAATTGTTCGGGCAAGTTGTTCTATTTTATGTATATTTCATCGTGTGACACGTTAATAAACATTCTTTTCTTCTTCTTCTTCTTCTTCTTCTTCTTCTTCTCTATTAACGTATTGTTGATGGTAAAAAAAGTGATAGAAAAGCTGAGTTCTACATAGATATTCCTGAAGCTTCTTATTACATCTGAAGTTATATGGTTTGGATTCAATTTGGACTAATTCAGAAAGATACATAGGAGTCAAATTAATTGTTTTATACAATATGATTAGCTGATGTCGTCTTCGTCTCTCCTATAGTGTGATGAATCCAGTTTCCTTGTAAATGACATCATGGCTAGTTCCCCTTACAGCACCATAGTTCTGAGTGCATCTAATTGTACATTTTCTAAAGCATCTTTTAGTTCGGCAGTGCACCCATCCCAAATGACATTACAGTAATCAAAATGAGGAAGTATGTATGAGGTATAAATGGTATAGAGAGACTTTCTATTTAAGCGGTATTTCATAGATCTCAGACAATTGACCAGTATACCAGTTTTAGTTAAAAAGTCCTGAATGTGAACATCCCATTGACAGTTTTATTGGAGGGTGGAGCTTCAGCCGCCTTCATGAAGAAACCGTAGTGGTCTTTTAGTGTAGGATAATGACCGAGGACGAAACGAAGCCTGAGGGTATTTGGCCAGGCCTTTCTCTTTCGAGGACCTTTCTCACTGGTATAAACGAGTCGTTTCAGGAATTTTAACAAATATTTGGAACATCCAATTCTACATTTAAAAATTCTATATGTAGTATTAAACGATACAAGTCACCCGATAAAAATACGTTCCAAAAATATAGTTTTGAATTTTTATAACGCACTTTTAAAATCATAATTACTGTAAGTGTAAGTTGTGTCTTAACGATGACCAGTGAAAAGTTTTACTAGAAACATAAAGGTATACATTGTTATGTTAAGGTGAAAAGAAAATTTAACTCATAGAACAACTTTTATTTTTCATATAGGCCCAGTGGGTAAAAGAATATTTATACAAATCAGCTTTTTCTTTATTAAAAAGTAAACGACAAGTCACTACCACCAAAACAAATTTATTATCATTGTTAAAATTAACAAAACATAAGCGTCGAAACCGGTATTGTTATCAATATTTGTATATATTGAAGTAACGTCCAATGTAATGAACATTAGGAGGTACGTTTAATATTTTTATACAATCAAAGTCATTTCACGTATATTTCTAAGAGATCTAAGATTTCCTTGTCAGTTTTTTTCAAATGCTATTCGGACAGTGTCTAAACCGGTATTGTTATCAATATTTGTATATGTGATGAGCACTGCATTAGGAAGTACGTTTAATATTTTAATTTTTTCAACAAAGTCGGTTGGATTTTTGAGCTATGAAGGGTGTTGACCAACAGTAATAACAAAATGGTCAATGTATTCGCAAACTCAGTAAGATTCGCTCGCGCAATCTGAAATGTATTAAACATTATGCTCATAGAGCAATAAAAATAATACAAAACCATTTATTCATGACGTGTGAATCACAGCACAGCTTGAATCTTACAAACTTATTAAGGGCAGAAGTTGTTCTTACTTCAACACTTATATTATATTACAAGATATATTCCCTCGAAAATAAAACCTGTCCCTCAACTGTAAAACTCAAAATATAGAACCTGTCAAGAGAGGGTTATTATTGAATTATAATCAACTTGCGACATCAAGGAGATTTGCCGCCAAAGGTTTATAAATACAGTTTCTACTGTAGTTAATTCCGTATTAATATTTTACGTAACTAACACACGCGAACGGAAGTGGGCGTTGGCTTAGTACGTAGAAGGCATCCGGACAAATGAGAGATACAAGATAGTTGGTTAAAATATTTGATAGAAAATATAATTACTCTCGTATTTTTATCAACTTTCTTCCTTTCTTCATTCGAGAACCAAAAAAACATCATTAACTCTTTAATCATTTAATCATTTAATCATTTAATCATTTAATCAAAATCTTCTCATTTATAAGAATAACAATTATTAAATTTTACCCCTGATTATTAATAATATAGTGTTGGGTGACTTGAAGGAAATTGGGTTCTAAGATCTTTTTTAATAACTATCACATTACCTATCAAATATAGAAATTAGAACAGAGTATATTTAAGAGACCCTCGAAATGACTTACTCCAGACTGTTGGCAGAGAATATTGAGAACGATGAACACCATGTTTCTGCTCGTAGTTTTTCTGTTGATTCCAGCAACATCAGCATTTGACTCGACTCAGACAAACAGAACAATTGTCAATTCTACAATCACTACCAAGATCAATGGTTCGAGTATTGGCCTGGGCACTTGTTCGGAATTTACTCCTCAAAGTTGTTCGGGTGTTTGTGGCCAGTTCTTTGAGTTATGGTGTTCATGTGATGAATATTGTCAGGTATATAGACGATGTTGTTTTGATTATGAAGCAGTTTGTAAAGAAGAATCGGAGAAATCCAAACAAGATCATGAAAACCTGATGAACGTAACGGTAGAATGTGACAGTAATATGTCGGGAGTTCACGTCCCTCAACAGGTAATTATGGTCGTATTTTCTTTCTTCTTTTCGAACAAATCATCTTTGGATAGATATCATTTGTTAGTAGAGACGTTGGTCGTCTATATAGTCAACGACGCGAATCAAAGCTCATTTAGAGATAACTAATAACTGTATACATGTAATCACAGAATGGTTGCAGGTATCGTACCGAACGTTCATAATGATGACACGATCCAATGTTTGCTAGAAAACTTCAGATATTCATGGTAGCTGTTATATAGAATTCAGTACTATAAAATACATACCAAACTACGTATGGTTCCTACATGTAAATCAAACATACAAACGTAGTTCGCAGCCATTTTGAATCTCTTCAAGGGTTTAGAAATGGCTTTTATTGTGATATGAAGCTTTTAAATATTTCAGCCTTCTTCAACATTCGTCTCATTAAGTCGAGGAAGAGATTCAAAATGGCTGTAAACTATGTTCGTTTGTGTTATTTACATGTAAGAACTATATGTAGTTTCGTTTGTATGAAATAGTAAATTATCATCTAGTTTGATAATTTCTGATCAGTTTAACCCTTTAATTGTGAATTCTTAATATTGAATGTTTCTCGGTTCATTGGTTGGTCTGTCAGTCGCCTTCTTTATTCTTGAACTGTCATTGGGGCTAAGGGCAATTTCCACCACCTCCACCCCCACCTTCTCGAAAGAATGGATTGCCCCCCTGAAAACGTTCTGATAACTGACCCGTTTAATTACTCCAACTTAACACACTGCCCCAATGCCCTTCAGAACAATCAAGTCTAGCTACGTGGTCTGATTATGTCTGTTTTAGTTTGAACATTTTTAAGCGGCAATCTCATTTTAAAATAGGCAGCGACTTGACAACAAGTTTTTTACCCACCCTCCCCGGGCCTGTAGCCATACTTTATTGTTCAGAGAAGCAAGTGTTTAGTTGACGTAATGTAATTGCTCGGTTGTTTATTTTTTTCCCGGGAGCCCTTAGCTAATGACCTGACACCCTCTATTTCCCTCTCTTTCCCTCTCTTTCACCTCTCTTTTCCCCTCTCTTTCCCCTCTCTTTCCCTCTCTTTCACCTCTCTTCCCCCTCTCTTTCTCTTTCCCCCGCTTTCCCCCTTTTACCCCACCCCTTTTCCACTCTTTCTTCCTCTCTTTCCCCTCTCTTTCCCTCTCTTTCTCTGGAACTGTGGAACTAACAGTTGAGCCGGAAGACACCTGATACCACTTTTCATTATGAAATGCTTACACACTTATGCTTGATATACTTCCTCTCTACCAATGTTTCGCCAAAACGTTGTTTGGATTTCGGATTTTGTTTTGCAATTTGAATTGATAGCACTCGGTTTATTTTTTCGGAATTGTTCACCATTTCAATCATTATATATAAGATTGCTGTTAAAATATTTTTATCTTTGTTGACTGTTTTGATAGTTTTAGATGTTCTGCTCTTTCCTTGTATCATATTCGTCTTTTGTTAGTTGTCTTTATTATTATTGTGTATTTTGATCTGTTGTTCTACATTAATATTCTATTTTGAATCTGTTTACTTGATTTATTATATATGAATTGAAACTGAAAATGAGTTTTATTTTTGACCTTAACGTCCCTGATTGGGCCCATGAAGATGGAAAATATCAGTTTAATTAAAATGAAATATAATATTTTTATCTTAGAGAATCAGTCCAGCTAGTGGTTGAGTAAAAATAAAAACTGATAACGAAATATAAATCTTATTCTAATTAGACTGACAAATATTCTATATATAGAATAAAATATTTGTAATACAAGAAATTGTGTTGTAGAAAAAAAAATGAGCGTAAAACTTCCCCATAATAATCTCCAACACCTAAATTAGTTTACGCTACTTAATCAACATTGTGTAACATTATAAAAATATATCAGATATAATATACACTGTTATAGATATTGAATATTGTGCAAACTGTGACCTAGACCAGTGCTTCTATAAGACAGTATTTCTTATAACACCTATTACTACTGTGATCTAGACCAGTGCTTCTATAAGACAGTATCTCTTATAACACCTATTACTACTGTGACCCAGACCAGTGCTTCTATAAGACAGTATCTATTATAACACCTGATACTACTGTGACCTAGACCAGTGCTTCTATAAGACAGTATCTATTATAACACCTGATACTACTGTGACCTAGACCAGTGCTTCTATAAGACAGTATCTCCTATAACACCTGATACTACTGTGATCTAGACCAGTGCTTCTATAAGACAGTATCTCTTATAACACCTGATACTACTGTGACCTAGACCAGTGCTTCTATAAGACAGTATTTCTTATAACACCTGATACTACTGTGATCTAGACCAGTGCTTCTATAAGACAGTATCTCTTATAACACCTATTACTACTGTGATCTAGCCCAGTGCTTCTATAAGACAGTATCTCTTATGACACCTGATACTACTGTGATCTAGACCAGTGCTTCTATAAGACAGTATCTCTTATAACACCTGATACTACTGTGATCTAGACCAGTGCTTCTATAAGACAGTATCTCTTATAACTCCTGATACTACTGTGACCTAGGCCAGTGCTTCTATAAGACAGTATCTCTTATAACACCTATTACTACTGTGTATAACAATGTTTAGTGTGAAATATAATTGATCATAATTACAGTCTTGTTTATAAATGTTCACTAAAGAACATACCAAGTACGAAGTTCGTAATAACTTGATATTATGAATATAGGGGTAGGGTTGATGTCTCTGTCTTGAAACGACACTGCTTGGCTAAACATTACTAAGAAATCATTTTTAAACCGGGGTCCACAACAGACCTCCAAGTTGACAATAAAACATTATATAAAAATTAATAAACGATACAATTATTCCAGTGAGAAGATTGTAATAAAAACTAAAAGAAAAAAATACCAAGATCTGAAATTATAAGATTGTG